TTTGTATTTTTAGTAGAGACGGGGTTTCACCATGTTGACCAGGATGGTCTCGATCTCTTGACCTCGTGATCCACCCGCCTCGGCCTCCCAAAGTGCTCGGATTACAGGCTTGAGCCACTGCGCCCGGCCAAAAATTGTTTTGTATATTAGAGTATCCAAATATTTCAAGCCATTAGTTTCAGATTACTTTGCTTTTTGGTGAAGTAATTTCCATGATTACCTTCTAAATACTGAATATATACACAGTCATGTTTTTAACTGGAACCCTGGGGAGCTTCACCAGCCAGCTCTGGCCTCCAGGATTTACCTGTCCTGTCATTCAGGGTGGGCAAGAGGAGAGCTCATCGTGTACCATGCCCTGCTAATGCATTCTAGTGCTGTGCGTGAATATTTATTTTTTGAAACTGAAAAGGTCTTTTAAAAAATTACTCAGCAAACCCTGTGTAAACTCTGAATGACAGAACTGTGCTGTGATTTTTGTCATCTTTGTCCGCCATCTTGCACTTGCCAGGTGGAGGTTTGGTCTCTTACTCCTTACTTAGTAAAGTATCCCTTAGTTCCCCGGAGATCAGCAGACACTAGGCTCACATGGATCCCAACTTTCAAAGCTCAGGTTGTCTAACCAGAATACTAATGGCATTACGTTGACTGAGAGTCATCACCTTGTGACAAATTAACTCTCACAGGGACTCTGTGAAGGAGGAGGATCAGAGGGGTGACAGTGTTGACTAGGGAGGATTTAGAATGTCTAGGAACTGTGGGGGCCAGCACTGTCTCATCTCAGCCCCCGAGGACTCTGTGGGTCTACGTCTTAACCCATGGGGCAGTGTTAGCTTGGCTCCCTGTTCTTAAAGTCACTAATGAAAGGCAGCCTCTGTTCTTACGAGCCCGCTGACCCTGGCTTGTATCCTCTGTGTGTGTACGGCCAGGCATACCAGCTCTCCCGGGGACGGGTGTGGGCCATGATCATCATGCTGTGTCTCATCGCGGCCGTCTTCTCTGCCTTCCTGGACAACGTCACCACCATGCTCCTCTTCACACCTGTGACCATAAGGTATGAGAGCACCTCTGCTTTGGGGTTGTGGCCAGGCTCTGGCAGGTGTGTGCTCTGGCTGCATGGCCTGGCTCCAGGCTCCATTCTCAGGTGCGTGAAAAGGTGGGCGGTCGTGCCCACAGTTCACTGCATTTCAGTCCAGCCCCTGTCTGCTGTGTATGACTTCACACACACTGCAAGCAGTGGGGCCGCAGAATCCGGTGGCAGAAATGCCTGCGAGAGGTAGAAGACACAGGCCTTGCTTTCCTGGAGATTGTGCTCTCATGGGGAGACACGTGGACAAGAATGGCTCACCCCAGACCACCAGGTGCCAAGAGTCCCTGTCCATGTTCTTCACCATCACTATGTACCATCTGGGCCAGCTCAGCAGGTCACACACATGCTCAGGGCTCACAGGGTCATGTAGCTGGGGGGAGGTGGAACAGCCACTGTGAGGTTCCTCATCAGAGGCATGAAGCGTGGGCCATGTGGATGGGCAGGTGTGGGGGATGCTGGGATGTGCCTTCTATACTTTCTTTAGAGCAGTGTTTCCCCACTCTGTGCATGCTGGGTCCCCTGGGGCGCTGTAGAGCGCCACTGCCTGGCCCACTCCCAGGCACTGGTCTGTGCTGGCCAAGCCGTAGGACTCCTGGATTCCAGCACAAATCTAGTGTGAGGCCGTGGTGGAGCTGCACAGCTGTAGAGTGTGGCCTGACAGATAAGTAGGGTGAATACGGTTACCATGAATAGACTGTGCACTTCTACCTTGCTGGAAGAGAATAACTGGAATGCTCTGAGGGTAAAGAACAGATAGCTATTTAAGGGGACGGGTATCCCAGTTACTTGCTTTGATTATATGAATGTATTACAGTATCACATGTACCCCCAGTATTATAGCAATAAAAAGTAAATAAAAAATACAAAGATGAATGAAACAAAGGGAAGGGATGAGAAGAGAGCTTAGGGCCTTGGTATCCAGGAAGGGGAAGGTGGGAAAGGGGCTGAGTCAGCAGGCCCAGTGTGAGCCATCCACACCACCCCCACACTGGCCCAGAGGACCTGACCACCAGCACCAGGTTGGCTGTGGAGGGCCTGCCCTGTCCTGCCTGCTGAGGTTGCTGCAGTTGTTCATTCCCCAACAGCACTGCCCTCCTCACACGGATGTGTGTGTGTGTGCGTGTGTGCGTGCGCGCGCGCGCGCCTCCCTTATACGAGCAAGTGCCTTAAAAATATCTGGGTTGCATGTGGGCCTTTCACGATGTGTACCGTGGGACTGCTTTCGTTTTCCTCCATTTGTGACAGGTTATGTGAAGTGCTCAACCTGGATCCAAGACAAGTCCTGATTGCAGAAGTGATCTTCACAAACATTGGAGGAGCTGCCACTGCCATTGGGGACCCACCAAATGTCATTATTGTTTCCAACCAAGAGCTGAGGAAGATGGTACGTACCAGCGTGCTAGGGTTGCTTCCAAAAACACACACCTCCACTTAACACTCATGGACCACCACTCCCCCACATGGACGCCTTTGTTAGAAATCAAGATCATCACACCAGCTCTTCATAGTGAGTGCTACTGGGCATCTCAAGAGTGGGATGTTAGGTGACTGGTCCTTCATTCCTGGAGTTAACTAGCTTGAATTGATTTCATTCTCATTCTGATCAGTTTTTAAAGAAATAACTGGATAACATGATATAGGCAGTCATAGTATGTTATATTAATTATATTAATAGGAACTGAGGTTTCTTCCAACTAACATTAAAAACAAGATGACCTGTTCCCTCTCACTGGAGATATGAGATTCTCTTCTTAACTGTGGTACATTAATTTATGATGAAGGACTTAAAATTTATTTTTTAAGGGTTGGAAATAAATGTCTTTAGAAATAAACTACCTGAAAGCCCCATATAAATATTAGTGTATAATTTCTTTGTATAGTGTAATAATGACAAAGTATTAAAGAGTGAAATGGTCTTTTACGTATCTTCAAGCGTGAAAATTAGAACTATATAATTAATTTTCATTCTCTACTCTTTGATCATTAGAATTTTCTCAATCTCCCTTCTGTCAGGTATCAGTAAAAATGCTTCCACGTTGGTATTATTTCTTGTAGATGATGTATTTATGTGTGTGTATGTGTCTGAATGGTGTCAGTGTGTTTGTATTTGAACTGTGTTTCATAAAAATGTTTAAACCTTTGAGAACCCCTGACTCCAGGGTGTTAATGGCCACTTCATGGGACCAGAATGCTCTAGAGGTTCTGGGTATGGCCCTGCATTCCCTAGTTGCCCTGGGAAACTGCTTGGCAACACTGCAGCAACCTTGCTGTGTGAGCTGAGGTGTGCAGCCATGATTGTGCCACCCTGGAGCATAGCAGGTGCTAACACAGCCTGAGGTTTAGCCTAAGGGCACCTGTTACCAGGAGGCAGCTCATGCTCATGGAAAAGAACTATTTTTGGGAAAAGCTGTATTATTAGTTTCATTCCATAAAAAAGTAATATATTTTTTTGTAGAAAACGGAAGTCTCATAGACACACGCACACACAATAAAAATTCGTAATTCCACAAACCAGAGGTAAATCCTTTTAATATTTTGTTGCAGATAGCATCCCAGAGTGTTTGTATATGGATATATTTGAATACAAAAGACAGCACAGCTTCTACTTCTGGCTAATACGGAGTCACAGGGCCTGGATTTACTCTCTTGCCTGAGATAGCCAAACAAATAAAACAAAAATAAACCCAAACCAGACAAAACTATGGTAACCAAGACACTGCACACCAGACACAAAAGGACAGTGATCCCTGCGAGATGGGACACAAATGCAGTGGGCTCTATGACTGCTCCAGCTCACTACTTGAGAGAGCTTCCAGAGTGCAGTGCAGGGAGGGACGATCCTGGCAGAGCCCCTGAGACTCCCTGAGTTGCGAGGGTGAAGCTGAAAGTCTGGGGAGACCAAGGCAGCGAGAGCCCAGAGAGGACAGAGCTGACCAGGGAGAGAGAACTGCAGAGATCCTCAGAGGTTCCCCTTGGAGTATTCAGCAGAGTGTTCGGATCAGTGCATTCGTACGAGGAGACTACCTGAGACCTGGGGAGAGCAATCCAGAAAGATGAGAGGAAAGAGTGCTTGACACACACTAGGACAGGAGCAATGATGTCTATTCTGCCAGGCAGGCTGAACCTCTTAATTTATGGATTGGATAGAGTACTGAGAAGGCTCTTGTCTTAGTCGTGAGAGGTAATTAACTCTCAAATGAACATGCTCTGGTTCCACCTAAGAAATCTTGAAACTAAGACCCCAAAGAACCAAACTGTTTCCGACATCCCAGAATAAACTGCATCCCAGAACAAACCTCAGGAATATTTAGAGTGATACAAAAGTATTCAACAACATAAAGGGTAAAATTTGCAATGTCTGGCAAGCAATCAGTGATTATCAGGAATATAAAAAAAGAAAGAAAAGATAACCTGTGACAGGGATGATACAAACCATTTGAAATGGACCTAGAACAGACACAGGTGCTAGAATTAGCAGACTAGGACATTAAAATTGTTATTACAACGGTGTTACAGATATTCATCAAATTAAGTAATAACATTAAAGATATTAAAAAAGCCCCACATCAAACATCTAGACATGAACATTACAATGTCTGAGACAGAAATACACTTGGGATTAATGGCATATTAGACATTATGTAAGGAATGATTAATGAACTTGAACTTGACATAGATGCAAAATGAAACAGTGTAAAAAGAGAATAACAAGGACTGGAAAGCATTAGTGAGCTATGGGAAGACGTCATATGCAATTCTCACCTCTGAAGGAGAGAGGGGATCCGAAAAAGACATCTTAAAAATGGTCCTAAATTCCAGATTTTATGAATGGTATAAACCTGCAGAATCAAGTTCAGTGAAGCCAGAGCACAAGAAGCATGAAGAATACTACACTAAGGCACATCATAATAAAATTATTTCAAAGCAATGATGAAGAGAAAATCTTTAAGTTTCCAAAGAGATATGTTACGGGCCAGGAAACAAAGATGAAGATGACAATATATTTCCCTTTAGAGATAATGCACATGTGAAGACAATAGAGCAATACCTTTACTGAAAGAAAACACCTGTTACTTCAGAGTACGACACCCAGTGAAAATTTCTTTTTCTTACTTACAAAACCCAGACATTTTCTCATATAGGAAAGCCAAAAAGAATTCATCAACAGCAGACCCACATGGTAAGACATGCTAAAGGAAGTCCTTAAGGCAGAAGGAAAATGACAGCAAATGGAAACATGGATCTTCACACAGACATGAAGAACACTAAAAAGAGTAACTATATAGGTAAATTCACATAAGTATTCAAACCACTTTGAAATAATTATTTAAAAAATAATAATGTAACATGTAAGTAGAATTGATGACAATAAAATAAAGCCTGGAAAGGGAGAAATTAAAGTATATTAATGTAAGATTTTTATTGTATATGTAAATTGGTATAACTTGAAGGTAATCCGTGACAACTTAAAAATGTACACGATAAACTCCAAAGCAACCACCAAAAGGAAAAAGAGTTACAGCTAATGGCAACAAAGAGTATAAGTGGAATCATAAATAGTATTTATTTAATGGAATGGAATGTAGAAAAAGGGTAAAAGGAAACAAACTATGATGAAACAGACATAAAACAAGTTGTATGAGTTATCTAACTATAATAATTACATAGCATAGAAATACTTTACCATTCAACTATAGATGCTCCTCAGCTGACTTTGGATTACATCCAGATAAACTTATTGTAAATTAAAAATGTCATGAGCCAAATGTGTTTAATATCCCTAACCTGCTGAACATCATAGCTTAGCCTAGCCCACCTTAGATGTGCTCCAAACGCTTACATTAGCATATAGTTGGGCAAATTCTAACACAAAGCCTATTTTATAATAAAGTGCTGGATGTGTCGTGTAACTTATTGAATATTGTACATTACATCAAAGTTGAGATGGTTTTGTGCTGTTGTGAAATTGAAAAATTGTAAATTGAACGAAACTAAGTCAGGGAACATCTGCATGTGCTGCTTACAAGACACATGTTTAGAATATAAAGACACACAAGGCCAGGCGTGGTGGGCCATGCCTGTAATCCCAGAACTTTGGGAGGCTGAGGCTGGTGGATCACCTGGGATCAGGAGTTTGAGACCAGCCTGGCCAACATAGTGAAACTCTCTCTCTACTAAAAATACAAAAAATTAGCCAGGCGTGGTGGTGGGTGCCTGGAATCCCAGCCACTCGGGAGGCTGAGGCAGGAGACTCACTTGAACCTGGGAGGTGGAGGTTGCAGTGAGAGAAAATCACGCCGTTGCACTCCAGCCTGGGTAACGAGTGAAACTCTGTCTCAAATATATGTATGTATATATGGACACAAATAGTTGAATGGCAAAAGACTCAAGAAAGTGGCTATATTAATATCTGACAAAGTAGACTGCAGAGCAAAGAATATTACTAGGACTAAAGAACATTTCATCATCATAAAGGGGTAAATTCATATAGAGGACATAAAAATTACATTTATGTGATTAATGACAGCTTCAAAATATGTGAAGCTTGATAGTAGTGCAAAGAGAAATATATCCTCAATTACAGTTGGAAAGTTCAGTACAATTCTCACAATAATTGAAAGAACAAGTAGAAAATCTGCAAGGATATAGAAAACTTCATTATTGTTAACTAACTTGACCTAATTGAGATTTATAGAAAACTCCACTCAACATCAGAATAATGTTTATTTTTTCCAAGTGCACATAAAACATTAACTGAAATAGATTCTAGGTCTTAAGACAAATCTCAATAAATTTAAAAAGATTCAAGTAATGTAAATATTTTCTCTGACCATAGTTGAATTAAACAAAGATATTTGGAAAATCTTCAAATATCTGGAAACTAGCACACATTTCAGTAATCCAAGGGTCAAAGAAGACTGATTGAAATTAGAAAGTATTTTTGTACTTATCAGCTTGGAATACCATAACAAAATACCATACGCTGGGCAGCTTAAATAACAGCAATTTATTTCTCACAGTCTAGAGGCTAGAAAGTTCAAGATCTAGTGGATTTCATTCTCTGGTGAGGGCTCTTTTCCAGGCTTGCAGATGGCTGCCATCTCTGTGTCCTCATGTGGCAGGGAGGCAGGGAGAAGAGGCAGACAGGAAGCTCTCTGGCATCTCTTCTTACACAGGCGTTAATCCTAGCATGAGGTCTCTACCCTTGTGACCTCCTCTATGCCCTATCACCTCCAAAAGACTCCATCTCCTGATACTACCCTATTGAGGGGATGGGGCAGGGCTTTGGTCAGGAGACTTTCAGGGAAACACAGTTCAGTCCAGAGCAATTTTGTATTGAATTATAATGAAAACAGAACATATCAAAATTTGTGTGATTCTTCT